GCTCGAGTCAGCTGAGTTGGTTCTCACTCAACAGCACAAACAACAAGCCAGTCTTCTCAGGAGAACTGGTGGAGGATGTTGCTAGGTGCTGTCGAATTGAGTACAACCCACAGCAACCCTATGAACACCGATCTGAACCCTGTCCTGTCATGTGCCCTCCTCACACTTCCTGACACATTAGAGCCCATTGCGGCAGTCACTGTGTCAGTCTACCTGGTCGAGGGTCTTCCTCTCCTTCACCGACCCTCTGCCTTTCTGAGCATCAAGTCCCTCTCCAAGGAATAGCCCCTCCTAAACATGTCCAAAGTATGTGAGGTGAAGCTTTATCATCTTTGCTTCCAAAGAGCACTCTGGCTGCACCCTCTCCAAGACACATTTGCTTGTTCTGTTGGCTGTCCGTGGGATGTTCAGGGCTCTTCTCCAGCACCACAGCTCAAAGGCATCAATTCTTCTGTCATCCTTATTCACTCTCCAGCTCTCAGATGCGTAGCAAGTGATTAGAAATACCATGGCCTGAATAAGATGTACTTAGTCCTCAAACTGACATCATTATTCCTCAATAATTTGAAAAGATACCTAACTGTAGACTTTCCCAGTGCAATACGTCTCCGGATTTCCTGACTGCTGGTGCCACAATATCACACAATACACTACAATATAGATACACACTTTTTTTTTTAGTGTTTGCTGGGGTGGCAGGATTACAGGGGAATGATTTCACAGGAGGAAGAAAATGATTCTATCAATTCTTTGCTTATGAGCTTTCTTGCTTTCAAGGTTGGCAATATCTGAGTTTTCACAAGAAATAAAGAACACTGGTTTAATGTACTTACACTTTACAACATCTTTGAAATTATTAAACCAAGTCTAATGCTTGATCTAAATCGCCATTCCAATAAAGCAATCCATTCTTTCATGCATTCCTGCTCTTTTAAGATTAGGTAGTAATGATTATTCAGGTCACTCCCACATGAATGCCTCTCTCTCAAGTGACTACGGAGCACCAGAAAGGACAAACCGTATTAACCAAAAAGTTCCCAGAACAAGACAGGTGCAGAAGGAAATGGCAGAGTGGCCCGACTCCCACACTCCCGCAGAGCTGGAACCCAGGAGCCTTGGTCCTTCGGTCACTGACCTGAAGCAGCACCAACTGCACTCCTGACCAACATCCCAAGAGAGTTTGTCATCAGGGTCCGAGGAACAGTACTGGGAGGCCAGTGCATGCCTGGAAAGCTTTCCGGTGACCAGCTTAGTCACAAGAAGAGCCCAGTGCCCGTGAGCCAGTCCTGACTCACAGGCCTCCTCCATCGGGTTTCTGAGGCTGTAAATCTATGCAGGAGGAGACTGGTCATCGCTCTCCTATGAAGCAGCTGGTGGATCCAAACCACCGACCTTCCAGTTAGCACACTGATATGCCCCAGGTTCGAGCTCTGGTGGCCTAGGGGTTAACCAGTTTTGCTGCCAACTTAAAGGCAGGTAGTGAAAAACCACCAGCTGTTCCAAGAGATAAATATGGATAATCTTCAAGGCAGTTTATAACCTCTGAAAACCCAATGCAGGAAACTGACTCACAGGTGAAAACCGCCACAGGCCTCCCAGTGAGCCCTCTGGCTCCCCCAGCCCTGCACAGAACCAGGAAACCCAACACACGGTCAGCTGTGACTGTTCTAACTCCATGGCAACGAGTTTAAGGGTTGGGCTTGTTGTTTTTTTTAACCACCACCAGGATGCCCTTACAAAAATCTAGAAGAAAGAAATTCTTATAAAAACTCAGAGAAAAAGGGGTGATGTTTGCGCTAAATATTTTTCAGGATGTCACTCCAGGAAAAAAAGAAATTTAACAGGAGGATATGTAGGATGTGTAAAATACTTCAATTGGATATGTTTATACTGACACAGTGGTTAAGAACATGGTGTTGTCTGAAAGGTTGATGGTTTGAACTCACCAGCTGCCACACAGGAAAACAATGTGGCATCTGCTTCTGTGAAGATGTCAGGCTGGGATCTTTCTGAGGCTGGGAACCTCTTGAGGCCGGGAACCTTCCGAGGCCGGGAACCTTCTGAGGCCAGGAATCTTCTGAGGCTGGGAACCTTCTGAGGCTGGGAACCTTCTGAGGCCAGGAACCTTCTGAGGCTGGGAACCTTCTGAGACTGGGATCCTCTGAGGCTGATCCATCCTGCCCCGCAGGGCTGCCGGAATTTACCAGGCAGAAAGGAAGTGGGTTTTTCCCCCAAGTACACACTGTTAACCAGCCAGGCCTGTTTTTGCTTTCTTATCATGAAAATCAGCACACTGAAAAAATGTAACCTCTAAAGGGCACAGGTAAACCAGCAACGGCAATTCTGGTCTCAAATTCGCAAAGCAATGGAAAGTGCATACAGGTCTCCAGAGCCTCAGTCTTTGCTCGAGCCTCACTCCCAAGTTCCACCTGCAGACACCACTGCCCAGCAGTGACCATTACTAATAGTCTCATAGATAATGCAGTTACTCCCAAAATATATGTAACTTTAAATCATTAATTTAAATCATTTCACTTAATCATGATTTAACTCATTCATTCGTTAAATCACTCTGTGCAAACAGCAGAGACTGGCCCTGTCAGATCCAGGTGGAGGGGATACTCTGTAAATGCCCATGAAGAAAGGAGCCAGGTGGGGCCTGGAGCTTCCTAACCTCAGCTCAGGGTGTCTAACTCTCTCTAGACTATTTATGTCAAACATATTAATACACACGTATAGGAATCCTTCAGGAAGGACTGAGATTGAACTGTAACCTGGTTTTCCCTCTGGGTAGTAGGAGTGCAGGACAAGGGGCTGTGATAATAAGACGACCACAGATACAAAGGCACTTAGCACAGAGAACATTCTGGCAGGTGAAGCATATCTGCACGCTCATGAACAGCCCTGAGGCCTTCGCCAGGGAGAGTGAAACGGTGTTCTCTTGCCTTAGAGAGCATTCCCCTGCTGTATTTTGATCTGGCTGTTCCTGTGTGTTCCTCCCACCCTGAAGGGCTTCCAGAACTAGAAGGAAATTGACAGCCTCCTACAAACACAGATGCCAGAAGCTCATTCTCCTCATTCAGGGGGAGGGTAAGACTCAGCAGAAAGGACTGAGCCTTCAAAACAAAGAACCTGGTGACTGCTGCTGGCCACGAGATCCTCAGGTCGAGCTGGAATGAAAAAATACGTCGGTTTCGAAAGATACAAAGTCAGGCTGGGTAAAGACTAGTAAGGCCTGGCGATGATGAGCTTCTGCAGAGACGAGACGCCAGAAACCTTAAAGAGCGGCTGTATTCTGTCACACGGGCTCCCAGGAGTCACAAGTGGCTCGGCAGTCCTGCTGTAATTTCGTCTCTTGATAGGGTTTAGAGAACGAATGAACTCAGGTGGCCAACGCGAACACCGCTCACTCTCGTTCAAGTCCACCAGGCGCTCTTCAGGAGAAAGGTGGGCAAACTCCTCGTGCTGTGATTTATGGCCTCAGAGACCCCACAGAGGGGCGATCGGGGTTGGCTCCACTCGACAGCAGTGAGCTCTGGGTTGGAGGTGATGAGAAAGCAGCCCCGGCGGCAGAGGGATTAACACACTGGGCTGGTGGTGCGGTGTGTAACGCAGCACGCTGCTTACAACGGGCCCTTCAGATCCATCACTCTGTGGGCGAAGAGATGGGACATCTCCTCCCTGGAAGATTTACAACCTCAAACACCAGATGAGGGATCACCCGAGTTGTATCTGAGTCGGCCCAAGAGGAATTGTTAAAATTCAAGTTATGAAGGCATACCTAGCACTTGGCATGTCCTCTTAGATGCTGTAATACAATGCCTATAAAGGGTGCTAAAAAAACTCTCTCCTCACCTTCCTCTCTTCCTCCAACCCTTTACACCTCTCAACACATTTTTGGTTTTTTTTTAACAACTTCTAGCAAATGTTACATCTCTGGCTAAAATGACTCAACTTTCTAACAGAGGAGGAAAGCAGCTTGCAACTTCCAAAGGCAGGTTTTAGTGCTTTACGATTAAACGCTGGGGGGTGGGGACCCTCTGGTAGCACGTCCACAGGGAGCTGCACTGTTCAACTCTGCCAGCTGCTCTGAAGACGACAGACGGACAGTCTCCTCCTGGACGGCTGACAGCCATAGCCACCCACTGGAGGGTCCGCTAAGATTCAGCTCTGCCTCAGAGGCAATGAGTTGGAGTCGTACTGCTTTATTAAACCAAGATGACAGTTAAATGGACACATTTTAAACCAGATGGACGGACGCAGCAATTGCTGCAATGCGCTTGAGTATGTTAGAAATGATGAGGATGGCACTGATAGGACAGGGTTCAAGTCCTTTGTTCACAGGGTCGCGATGAGTCATTCTCGACTTGATATCAGCTTTAGAAAGGCGTCCCTGGGTGATACAAATGGAGGAAGCACTCAACAGCATTTGACTGGCAGAAGGCCTACTTGTCTACCTGCCAAAACATGGCCGCTGACAACTCGGGGATCACAGCTCCAGCTGAAGCACGGAGTCCGCCCGGGCCAGCACCAACCCAGGGGCCACGAGTTACCCTTCCAAGAGTGAAAGCATAAGATATTCCTCTGACTGATGAAACATGAGGGGGATGTTGAGTCATTCAAGGAAGATCAACACCAAATTTAAAGTCTACACGTATATGTCCTCTTTTTCATTCATGAAAGAATTACCACTTCAAGTCATTCTCTATTAGAATCACCTACAAGCCCGTCGGGTCAGTGGTTCGGAACGCAGTCCCTGAACCCAAATCCTGGACCAGTCATCAACTGTGATCTTAGCAAGTTACCATTTTTCTCATCTGCATTTACCCTCATGCTGAATAATCACTATACAAATCAATACTTTGAAAAAAAAATTAAGAGATAAAACCATTTCAAATTTGAAAGAGAATGATCATTTCATGAGCAAGGTTACTTATGTTTACAAAATTTGCACTTTTATAGGAGGCATAGTAACATGCACACTGCACGGTTCCACATACCTGTTTGGAAGACAAGTTCTTTCCCTCCTACACCCGCCGCCTCCAGGTTAATAAATGCACGAACCAAGCTGGCCCAGGGGTGCTGAGTAATGAACCCATGGCTGGCCTAAAGGAGAAGGCAGGCAAACACTGTCAAACCACCTCACACGACCAGGCTCCCCCTGGCTTATCAGTTCAAAGGCACCATCCTAAGACATCCTCAGCCTGCCTCTGTGTGCTCACTGCCAATGGGCAGGGAGCTGAGTGGACAGTCACCATGGAGGGTGCCACACAGCAGGAAGCTGCAAAATAAAGGACAAGTGGACAGGAGAGACAGACAAGCAAAGAACGGGACGGCTGGGCAGTCAAGCGGTTTCTAGCTCAAAAGATCTCAAACTCGGGGGGATGTGGGGGGTGGGCTGGGCGGGGAGAGAAGTGCAACAATGAATGAATGGAAATCCAAAATCTCTGTAAATGTTCATTAAAATTATTTAAAAAAAAAAAAAGATCTAAAATCCAAGCTTTTAAAAAAAACCAAACTCTAAGGTTCAAATCTACCAGATGCTCTGCTGGAGAAGGAGGGGTAAACTCCTCCTTTACCAGTCAGATCTGATTTGATGGTACACACAAAAATAATAAAAATTAAAAAAACAACAACCCTCAGATGAGTAATTTTTAGATGAGTCCTTTTAGAAATCATATACCTCTCAGATTACCCCTTCTGAGTTGAGATTTTCAAGTACTGAGCTTGTCTACGCCAACAGCTATGGATTTTTTATACACAGGAAGGAACAGCATGCCTCCTTTATCCTTTTAGGATGCTATTCAAGTGACTAATCGAAACGTATTACTGTTCTCATCCTCATGATTCAAACCCGCATTGAAACCAGCGAACTCTCACTTGTAAGACGTTTTCCTCAGCACCGTTGAAGAGAAATATGACAGCGTGGTGGAGGGCTTCAGGCGAGGTGGACAAGACGTGGAGGACCTCCAGCATCACCGAGCAGCTGACCGCATCGTCACTGGCACCTTGAAGAAACAAAAGAGATTTGCATCTCAGGTTCCAAAGCCTTCACAATGGGACCCAGATGGCCAGGAAGAGAGGATGGCCACACAGGGTGACAGCGTCCACCACCAGCAGCATCCACAAGACAAGGTCCGCTCTGTGCCTGGAAACAGGCCTGGCCCAATTAGTATTTTTGCAAAAATGCAACCAGGTGGTAGTGAAACTGGTTTTCTCAGGGACTCATGACAACATGGTCCTTTCCTGATCCATATGCCACATCCTCTGAATCTCCCACTTCCAGGGTTCACGGATTCCGGCCTCCTCTCACGGGTTTGTTACCCCCTCCTTTCCTTCCAATGGCACAAAAGCTGCAGCTCACTCTGCTACAGGGGTCAGCTTGAACGCTGTAGGGTTTTCAAAGGGTTTTCCCCCTACCACATATTATTTTAAAAAGTATTAAAAAATCACCTTGTGAGACACCAAAACCCAAGCCCACTGTCAAGTCGATTCTGACCAACATTGACCTTACAGAATGGAGAACTGTTCCAAGGGGCCTTGGAAACAAGGCTGTCACTGTTACAGATGCAGACGGTCACATCTTCCTAGCTGCCGGTGTACTTGAACTGTCAACACCTTTTAGTTACAGTGAGAACCTACCATCATGCCACGAGGCTCCTAGTTAGACACAGGGAAGAGGAAAATGGATTTAGCAATGCCCCAGTCCCAGCACTGACAAAGCAGAGCTTCGGCAAATGATTTCACCTTTCCTTGATTCAGAAGTTTCGTGTATGAAAGGTGACTGACTTTAGAGCCTTCATTTTCAAAAGCACTGCAGGAGGTAGTTAAAGGAAATGACGGACATTTGATATTAAAAGAATTACTGTCAGTTTTTCAGGTGAAATAAAGAATTGCAAATGAGCATGTAAAAGGAAGATTAAGATTCTTTATCTGTTATCTGCATAGACTGACGTGCTCAGTTGTTAGGCTGTGACTCCGTTAGGTCGTGCTACTGTGTACGACTCATGTACAACAGAAGAAAACACGGCTCTGTCCTGCCCCATCCTCCAACCGGTGGCTCTGTTCACGCCATGGCCGCAATCAGTGCCAGTCCGCCTCATCAAGGGGTTTCCTCTCCCCCGCTGACTCCCTACTAGAAACACTCACAGAGGAATAGAGAGAGCTGAGATTTGCTTCAAAACAGCCATAACGTGGACAGGGTAGGAGCAGAAAAGAAACAAGATTAGCTATGGGCTTGGCAACCACTGAAGCTGGAACTGGAACAGCAGGGTCCACCGTACAATCCTCTCAGGTCTGGAACCTACTCGGCATTTCCCACAATAGGAAGATCTGGGTAGTTCAAGTGAGTTACCGGGCACAACCCAGCCAATGGCAATTCTGAGTGCCCACTGGGAGACATGGATTTAACATGGTCTTGAGAGGAAAAGAGACTTGGGAATGAATTCCTGCTGTCACTTTAACGTCTGGACACTACATTTTCTGGTCTGGAATGCAGACCAACGGGATCAGGGTGGCTGTCAGGACCGCGAGAGGATGCCCTCTGTCTGCAATCGGTCACTCTCCTCAACAAACCTAAGCAAGGCTCTGCAGCCCGCTAGCACGTCTGCCTGAATGGATCAATTCCAGGCGTCACTACTACTCAAGAAACTGCTCATGAGCTGTTTGCCCTTGCTGTGATTATGGAATTGAACTGTAATCACATTGAAACAAAGTAGTATTTTCTGTTATCTCCCAGAAACCAAATGAAACATTTGTTAACTTTGAGACTGTTACTATAAATGAAAAAATAAATTGTAACCTTTTATTTCTCTTTCAAGTGAAAGTTACAAATTAAAGACAAAATATGAGGGAAAGTGGACAGTATATAACTGCAGAAACTAAATTAAAATGCTAAATTGTCATTTTGCTACCTATATCTTAATGCTTCTGGCCTCTCAGAAGAGAAATAGAAGGATCAAATGTCTTCCAAACTTTACAGGACACTATCTGTAAGGCATCCCACTCCACTTAGAATTAACCCTGAAATTGGAACCTCCCCCAAAGTAACTCAATGTCTTTCCTACTAACAAGCTGTACCCACACAGCAGAGTGAAGACATTTAAGGCTTTTCTGTGGGTAACATTACTCTGAATTGGTATCAGTTCCTGAGTGCTGGATACTATGCTGAGAACGTTAAAAAACCACTCACGTTTCAATTAGTCCACTTATTAAAAGCTAAGTGCCTGTTTGATGCATTCGTGAAACACTTTTCAACAATTTATTACTGAAATTTCCTTGGCATTGTTCATAGTTTATATTCTTTAAAGTTTTGTTTAAAAAGGGTGCATGAGGCACATAAAAAATGACCAGACTCCAAAGGCACAATTTGTAACATTTGACACTGCTTTTTTCTCCATGATATCTGTATATACCTCTCTCCTATATAATAATACTCTTAAGTGACACCAGTTTGTTTATTCCCAGAATTTACAAATCGTAAAAAAAGGAAGATAGCAACTATTTAATTACTGCCTTGAAAAAACCACTGGTTTTCCAAACCACACGTCAAACTATTTCTTTTTTTTTTTTACAAAATTTTTTAAAATTATTATTTTATTTTGTGTGTGTGTGTACTGTCAAATCGGATCTGACTGGTACAGGAGGAGATTGTCCCTCCTTTTCCTGGCAGAGCATCTGGTGGATTTGAACCATGCGCCTCTGGGATTGCAGTGCAGCTTCTTGCCACTAGGCCACCAGAGCTCCCCACGTCAAGCTATTTCTAACTTCACATGTTGTTGTTAAGTGCCATCGAGTCGCAGACGACTCATAGTGACTGTATGAACAAAAGTCTTGAACATGAAAAACTTTCATCTTTTCTCAAAGTTCAGAATTTCCATGGGCAAGCTATTTCGGAAGTGGATGCCACTCCTGCTTCCAAACTTTGTATAACAAAGGTGTATGTACTGACTTTTTTTTTTAACAGCAAGTTACATTATAAATGCAATTGGCAAGCCATCTAATTAAAGCTACAGGAGAGCTCTGGTGGTGTAACAGTAACCCAGACTGGTGTTCTAGACCCATCAGCTGAAGGATGGACAATATTCCCTCATGCGATTTACAAAAACCTGCTGGAGGGTCAGCTATGAGTTGATTCTGACTCGACAGGATTGAGTTTAAGTGGTTCTTCTTTGTTGAGATTTTGTTTTTAAACTGTGAATCACTGTGCTAAGCAAGTGAATTTTTCTGGATATCATGTAAAACTCAAGATATTCTTATTGCATCTGCTTTAAGCTCAAACAATCCAAGAGTGTTAATATGATCTAACAGTGTATAATAAAATACGTGTGTAATTATGTGTGTGTGCCAGGTACTATTCTAATGTTTTATTGTTATGTAATCCTAGTTTACTCCTCAAAACAATCCTGGCAGGAAAGTAGTATCATTAACCCTATTTCATAGATGAGAAACTGAGGTTATGTTAGTTGGGCCAGAGAAGCAAGGTCTTCACCTGTCACACACTAGCACTCCACAGGTGAGGTGGAGCTGAAAGGACCAGCCAGGAAATGAAGTGTCTGGTTCTCGCTCCGCCTCTGATCAGCGGTAATCAGCCAAGTTTACTCTGGTGTCACACAAAGGGGCTGACCACATACCACTGCCTAATTCTATTTGAGCCAGCTCCACTATTTCCTATGCCCCCTAATGTATAACCTCTTTGACTACTGAGACCATTTGTTCCTGAGAAAGTTTATATACATATTTTTTTTAAAAAGTCTAAGTTCAACAGAGAATGCGAGAATGGTTACTCATGGTGGACAGTGTTTGGTGAAGCTCCTCAATTAAAACAAGCTTGGAAGGAGGAGTGGCATCCACTTCCATAATAGCTTGTCTCCGGAAACCCTATGAACCTGGAGAGAGGACGAAAGTTAGACAGGAGGTGTCTAGGACTTTCCTTCATAGGGTCACTATGAGTCACCTGCAACTTGAAGGCACTTAACAACAAGTTCAATGGAGGGCATTCTCATTTAGGAAATGTTTACTGTAGCGAACAGTGTCCTATGCATTAAGCCTTCTGTTTTGCCAAAATATTCTTCAAGTACGAATTATGGAGCAATGAGGTGCTCTAAGAATACGGCATGCCCCACAGACCATTATCTCACTCGCCAGGTCAACAGACACAGCCAGGATAGCCATCTACTCCTTGAGGACAATGATCCTTCACCCTGCTGTCCCCAGCCTCACAGAGGGACCCAATCCCAGCCACAGGGCACATGCTGTCAGCTACACTGGCCAGGCTGCTTCAGTCTCCCGAACGCTAAACAACAAAAAGAAATTCAACACTGGAGAGAATGCATGGCTAGGTTAGATCCTGAAGCATAATGTCCAGCCATCCTGCCTTCTACCCAGATGAGGAAGAGAGAACACTGTCCAGAAAACAAAAAACTCAAAGTCATCGTTGATTCTGACTCATAGTGATCCGACCACGGCAAAGGTGTTCAGTGGCTAACCAAAACGTCAGCAGTTCAAATCCACCAGCCACTCCACAGGATCAAGATGAGGCAATCTGCTCTGTAAAGACTTAGAGCCTCATAAACCCTATCGGTTGCTAAGTCTAAGAAACAGGACCCTACAATTCAGCTGGGGTTCATAAACGAAATGACCGAGAGCACAGGGACATACCAGGTGAGTTGGGCACTGAGTCAAAGTGGCAGTTTGCTAGGACAGCGTGCTGCGCTCCCGCCCTGGGCTCCAGCTTCACCACGATGTTGGTGATGTTGTCGTAATAGCTGGTGAAACCTCCCAGGAAGTCGATGCTGAAGGAGCCCGTGGGCCGCTGGACGTCCACCGCGATCTGGTGAACGCCGCTGCTCTGCTCTTCAATCAGCTTAATCTGCTCCAGAAGATAGTGAACCGTCAGAACCTCATTCTCCACACTCCCTGTTGTCCTGGGGCCGATGGATGTTATATGTTCAAGATAACCCCTGCGCGTGACCAAAAGACAATAAAGGCTTAAAATGAAGGTGCAGCACAGGCCCGCTGCAAGCTCCCCTCACCAGAACCCACTGTCGACAAGTCTATTCTACACGGCTCAGGCAACCCACGTGTTCCAGAGCAGGACTGCTCTGCAGGGTTTCCTGGATGTGATCGTTACAGGTGCCCTGGGTGGTAGGGACTGGCCTAGGCCATGGGGAGGCCAGCTGCCAAGCCATGGTTGACAGAGATGGATGGAGAGGAGCCAATGCCAAAGGTGGATGGGGAGAGGCCAACGGAAAGGCTGCATCTCTCCAGTGGTTCAAACCCACCAGGCACCCCAGGGGAGATGGATACACAATCTCCTCCGGTGCAATTTACTGGCTCAGGAGGAACCTGCTGGGGGGTCAGCTAACAGTCGCTTCTGACTTGATGGCAATGTGAACTGTTATACAGAAGTGGACTGCCAGCTGTTTCTTCCGTGGTCCTATGGAAGGGTGTCACTCAGGGGCCTTCATACATACAAGAGGCTGTCTTTTGTGATCCCTGCCAACAGTAAAGTGTAAGATCCTATTCTTTCATTCTGCATCCCAAGGTTTAAGGGTTCACAGTTCTCTTCACCCACCTCTCACTCTCTCCCACCCTGGAATCAAACCACTGCAAAAGTTATAAACGGTATTCAGAGCCATGACTGCAGAGAGAGCCACACAGGGCAGAGCGAGGGAGGCAGTGACTCTGTGATTCTACGCAGAATCTCCAGCAGAAGTCAGTGAGTGAGAGCAAATGTGACCAAGAACTTAAACCACAGAATGCAACCTTCTGACGGTAAAGGCTGGACTCGCCCGGCCACCATGGGGTCCCCAGGCCTAAAAATATCAATTCAAATCCAAGAGAATGCTACGCCCTACGCAAGCAAACACGTTTGTTCTTTGGGTTTTGTTTTGACTTTTTTCATCTCACTGCATTCCAAGCGGGAAGGGGGGGGGGCAGTAGGGAGGGGCTGTGTTCAGAGAGATCCTAAGAAAATAAACTTCCAGCACTTTGTAGTCATTCATAGAGGAAAAAAGTTCTTAAAATACAGTGGCCACTGCAGAAAACTGCTAGCCAACGACAGAAAGCTTCAAGACACTAAAGCTTCAATACCTTTGGCTCACTCCCCTTTCCCAACTTACTTCAAGGTTTGGGGTTTTCCCCTCAACTGAAAAAGTCAAATCTTACAGAGACCCTAAACCAGGGGTCAAGGACAAACTTCAGGGATCTGAGAGTTTTCTCAAATCGTGGGCAGATTTCGAGTTTTCTCGGGGAGATGAATACCCCTTTTGAGTACAAAGATACCTTCAAAAAAAGTGTGGACCACCTGCACTAGCACCATCCAAACACCCCCAAATCCCACTCAGTCCGTTTGGAAAGCGGGAGGGCCCAGCAGAGGCAGCGAGAACGGGAGGATGCCCCGAGGACGGAGGACAGCCGGCCCCCGGCGCGGAGGGCAGCAGGGACGCGGGTGCAGCCCAGCCCGCCGCCGCCGGGGACAGGGGCTCCGCGGAGGGACGTGCAGGACCCGTCCACGTGCACCCGG